GAATAACTCCGAAAATATAATTTATTTACTTGATCGTGTTGAGTTTTGGTGCTCCCACTGCGAGTTTACTTTTTATGATCACTATCTTAAGGATGAGTGCGAACTATTTACCTAACCTGTACAAAATTACTCTCTACTTAACTAGATTCATTTTTGTGAAAGGCTATTTTTGTTAAATTATGATATTATGTTTGGTTTTGCAGTTAGTTGAAATACAATTTGTTTGTGTTGGTTGTTATAAATATTGGACGCTATATTACTAAAAACATGCATATCGCGCTCTAATTGGCGTCCGTATTGTGACCTACGCACATTGAGAACTTTCCACGCTTATGCTTGCTTACATTTAAGTTTCTTTGGTTATATTTAGTAACTTAGGTAAATAAACTTATGTAAGTTGATTAATGTACTTGACATGGACATTGAACGGAGTATTTACCCATATACGGACGTGAGAATATCCTAAAATATTCACACTAAGTTTTATTTGACGTCCACTTCTTCGATATCCGATGTCCAAAGTTATTGTTGATAATTGCATTTTACTATTTATTTAGTGCCCAAGGCATATTTTGGGTTTTTTTGTCGGTTTATTGATATGTATTGCGGGTGCGCAGCACAGCCAGTAATAAACTAGCCTCGCTACTAAACGGTTGTTTCCTTTGTTAAATACAATCTCACTGGCGACGAGTTTTGTACATACCTACGCGTAAAAAAAATATGTCGTATTTAGGTAATTTGCCTGTTTTCGATCACAAAACAAGTGAATGGTCAATATTTTATGGGAAATTAACACAGTTCCTAAGGATAAATAATGTGACAAAAGAAGAAATTAAGAGTGGTATCCTGCTTACTCATCTCACCGATGAAACCTACCGCTTAGTACGTAACTTAGCGTACCCTAAAACGGTGGAATCGTTAACTTACAACGAGCTAGTTCAAATACTCAACAGCCATTTCAAACCAAAGCAGTGCTCCTTCGTAGATAAGGCCAACTTTTTTGGAGCGACTAGTAGTCCAGGAGAATCACTGGGAGACTGGGCGGCGCGATTAAGAGGACTAGCAAGCTATTGCGAATTCGGCGACGCCCTGGAAACGAATCTGAGAGATCATTTTGTCCTAGGCCTGGGCTCTGGCCCGGAACGCGACAAGCTGTTCGAGCAGAACCCGACAACACTTACGCTAACTAAGGCGATTGAAATAGGGGAACAAGCTGCTTGCGCAAGAGAAGTAAAGGTGATGCTGAATACGAGCGATTTTGGGCTCATCAAGGAAGAGCATGTGTATCGTGCAAAAATTCACCAGTTCGCTCGGGGAAGCGGAGGTGACGGCAGTGGCAACGACAGTGTCGGCGCTAGGACATCGCGACGCGAAACTGGCTCCTGTTCAGTTTGTGGTATGAAAAATCATTACAGTGATAAATGCCGGTACAAAAGCTATAAGTGTCAAAAGTGCGGTATAAAAGGACATTTAAAAAAAGTTTGTGCTAAAAATAAAAATAACTCGTGTGCTTATCACATTCAATCAGAACAGGAATGCGGCGCTAATGAGGTCAAGGACACAGGTTGCGTAGAATGCCAGAACTTTAACTTAAGGTACGTTGATGATAAACCAATTGAAATAAATTTAATTTTGGGCAATCACAACTTAACAATGGAACTAGATTCAGGCTCGAGCAGCTGTGTAATTTCTGAAAAATTGTATGCTGAAAAGTTTTCAGATTATCATTTAAATAACAGCAATATAAAAATGTGTCTGTATAATGGGCATAAAATCTCTCCACTTGGATATTTCTGGGTTGAAGCTTGTTATAATAAAGTTAAACACAAAATAAAAATTTATGTTGTTAAAAATGGGGGCCCTCCCCTGCTGGGTAGAGATTTTATGTCCGCGTTTAATTTAATTATAACAACTAACATAATGTCTATGTGTATTGATAAGAATGTAAACAATGTATTGCAAAAGTTCCCATGTTGTGGCAGGATGAGTTAGGTTCGTTCAATAAATTTAAAGTATGTTTACGTTTAAAGGAAAATGCAAAACCTAAGTTTTTCAAGCCACGAACCGTACCCTTTGCCCTTAGGGATAAAGTCGAAGAAGAGTTGAACCGTTTAGTAACCTTAGGTATTTTAGTTCCAATTGACCAATCAGAGTATGCCACGCCTATTGTACCTGTTTTGAAAGAAAACAATAAAATAAAAATAGCAGGAGATTTCTCGGTCACGCTGAATAAAGATCTTTTGATTGAAAGATACCCCTTACCTCGAATCGAAGAGGTATTTGCTAAAATTGGTGGTGGCGAACGATACAGGAAAATTGATCTTAAGAATGCTTATAATCAATTTGTTTTAGATGAGCCATCCCAATTACTTACAACAATAAATACCCATAAAGGGTTATTTAAATATACAAGATTAGTGTATGGCTTATCTAATGCACCTGCAATCTTTCAAAAGGCTATGGAGACACTTCTCTCTGGCATAGATGGAGTCAGCGTATGGCTCGATGATATACGAGGGTGGATTGAAAAGTACTCGGCCTAACACAGATCCATTCAATTCTAAAAATCAAATCTACCCACATTATTTAGTTCAGTTCAGACTAGTTCATTGTGTGAAGTTCGAAACGTGTGCGATAATTAGTTGTGATTTTATAAATTTATTAACAAAGTAATCGGACATAATTTCCGCGAATGGAGCAAATCGAGCAGCGTGCCGTCATTAAGTACCTCCATAAGAAGGGGCTATCATCAAAAGCCATCCATGATGACATGGTCAGTACATTAGGCGATTGTGCTCTGTCATATTCATCCGTCAAAAAATGGATAGCAGAATTTAAGCGTGGTAGAGAGAGTGTGAAAGATGAACCCCGCTCTGGAAGGCCTTCGACGTCATCTACTGACGAAAATATTAAAAAAGTACTTGATTTAATAATGGGAGACCGCAAATTAAAAATTAGAGAGATAGCCGAGATTATAGGCATCTCTTATGAACGAACTCAAAACATCATTGTCAACGAGTTGGGTTTCCACAAGGTGTCTGCGAGGTGGGTTCCGCGACTGCTTTCAGTTGAACAAAAAAGGACGCGATTGACTATTTCACGCGACTGTTTGGAGTTATTTGAAGCCGATGCAGATGATTTTTTGAATCGTTTTGTTACTATGGACGAAACATGGGTTCATTACTGTACACCGGAAACAAAACAACAATCAAAACAGTGGAGAAGACCTGGTTCACCACCCCCTAAAAAAGGCTAAGTCGATTTTGTCGGCAAATAAGGTGATGGCTTCAGTATTCTGGGACTCGAAAGGTGTGATTATGATTGATTATCTTGAAAGGGGTCAGACTATAAACTCTGATTACTACTGCACCTTACTACGTCGTTTACGAGAGGAAATAAAAGAAAAACGTCGAGGAATGCTCAGAAGAAAAGTCCTGTTTCATCAAGATAACGCCCGTGTTCACACGTCAGTACAGTCAATGGCTGAAATTCACAACTGTGGCTTTGAACTGTTACCGCATCCGCCGTATTCACCTGATCTGGCACCATCAGACTTCTTTCTGTTCCCTAACCTAAAAAAGCACTTGGGAGGTCAAAGATTTTCGACAAACGACGAAGTCAAAGCAGCTGTAGACGCATATTTTGGCTCTAAGGAAGAATCATTTTTTTTCAACGGTCTAAATGCTTGGAAGGGGAGGTGGCAAAAGTGTATTGAACTTGATGGTGATTATGTAGAAAAATAAAAATATAACTGATTTAGTATGTGTTTATTTTCTTGGTTAGGCCGAGTACTTTTCAATCCACCCTCGTATGTATAACTGGCCCCAATAGTGATTCCCACATTAAAAGATTAGAAGAAGTATGAAGTCGGTTAAGTGACGCTGGGTTGCGACTACAGAGAGACAAGTGTGATTTCTTTAAGGATAGTGTAAAATATTTAGACTATGTCATAGATAAAAACTGCTTAAAGACTGACTCGGAAAAAGTTCACGCTATCATTAATGCGCCCGAGCCGACTAACGTAACCGAAGTGAAGAGATTTTTAGGCATGGTCAATTATTATAGGAATTTTATACCAAATGCTTCTTCACAACTCCATCCTCTTCACGAGCTATTGCGTCACGATACGCCATGGGAGTGGGGCGAGCGTCAGAGGCGTAGCATGGCGGCAGTGCGCCGCGAGCTGGCGTACGAGCGCGTGCTAGCGCACTTCGAGCCCACAGCACAACTCGTATTGTGCGTGGATGCCGGACCCGAGGGTCAAAGTAGCAGAGTTTATGAAAATAAAAAATATATATTTTCCCAATATTTGTTTTTGCGTACATCGACAGCACTAAATGAGCACTAAATTATTATCTTATATCATTAGCTGAGAATCCACTTGGATGTCAATGTTTCATCACATACTCTGCTAAAGATGTCAAGGTAGCAGTTTACGGTATTTAAAAATAATAATTTCCCAAATCCTTTTTCGTATACCGACAGCACGTACATATCGACTACATGACCGTGGGGCAAAGGGTATACCTCGTGGTAGTTGATTCGTTTAGTAAATGGCTGAAATGTATATACATGAACAGTGGAACGTCGTCACAATCGCTTATTACAAAATTAAAAAATATTTTCTCTACCTTCGGTATACCTAATGTTTTAGTTTCTGATAACGATGTTAAAATAAACTCTAATGAATTTAAGACCTTCTGCTCTAACAATGGCATTAAGTACTTAACTTCCCCCATATATCATCCACCAAGTAATGGACAAGCGGAAAATTCGGTTAGGACTTGTAAAAAGATGCTAAAATGTATTTTAAAAGATAACCTACCACAGCACCAAATTAATTATAAGTATTATTATAATAAGTATTATTGGGATATTTATTTAACTACAGGAACACGGTACACTGTACAACCGGCGAAACGCCGGCTAAATTAATGTTTGGTAGAAATCTACGATCTCGTCTCGACCTAATTATACCCGTAGAAAAAACAAAATTAAATATGCCTTTAATAACCAGTAGGAGATTTTTTGAATTAGGTGATACTGTTTCGGCTCGGTGGTACAGTGCCCGGAAAGAAACTTGGGAGTTAGGTACAATTAAAGAGAAGGTCGGTAGTAAAATGTACAAAATATTTATTATAAAATATGAAGCAACATGCATTAGACATATAGATCAGCTGTTAAAATTTACAGGCAACGATAATTCATTAAAAATTAATAACACTGTTAATGTTGAGAGTCGCAATTTTCAGTCTTTACCCTTGTCACCGTCTATGCCCGTTAATGCTCCTTTATCCGAACCTTCTGTAGGCAATCCTCGGTCATCGACCATAGTAGAGCAAACCGTTAATACTGACGCAATAGACCATGATAATGGGGAAGAATGGGGCGATTATTCGGCACAGGACAGCGTGGGAGACTCAACAGAGATTCCGGAAGCGTCAGATTCGCCTGAAGCTTCCGAAAACGGAGTCGAACAGCCTCAGAGCGATTCTGTCCGCTCCAATGACGTACCACCAGCGCAGGCACCGACACCCGCTAGTCAACTGCGCCCCCGGAAGAGGATAGATTATAAGAAATATTTTTAAATGATTCATTGTGTTATTAAATTTAGTTGTGTGTGTGTTGTGGTGTGGTGTGGTATTATTTAATTTATTAAATATTGTATATCTGTTAAGTCATAAGTATCTTAAATATTGTTTTATTTAAAACTTTATGTATTATACATTTAATAGAAATTTAAGTATTAACTGATCACTGTAAATCTAATTTGTTAACAGGTATCAAAAATTAAGTGTAGAGGAATGGTATGTATTGCGGGTGCGCAGCACAGCCTCGCTACTAAACGGTTGTTTCCTTTGTTAAATACATCTCATTTATACTGTACTCAGTGCTAGTAGATAATTTTACTTTCCAATTTGTTTTCGTGTCCTTAGATTTAGCTACATATAATAATTAATATGGATGTCCGAATATCCTAAAACAATCATACTGAATAATATTTGACGTCCATATTTTTGAATTTTGTTATATTTCTATATGTGGACGTCAGATTATCGGCAAAGTTTCATACCGCACAATATTTGACGTCCTATAACCATGAATATATTTATATTTTAATTTCTTGTGTTTAAGACACACATTAATGATCATTACTTTAATGACATTTTTCGCTATTGTTTTATTTTTATTTTAGTGTAGTGAGCCCATGCGGTATGAAATAGTCACTTTGGTGTTTCATAAAATGCTCCATTCTAGAAACGATAAAACGCTTAGAAAACCTTTCTTATTTCTTTTTTGATAAATATTGCCGTTTGTAGCGGTTTCTGGGGTACGGTGTGCGCCAAAATTTCAACTTTAAATTACTACCTGTGTACACATAATAATATGGACGTCCGAAAATCCTAAAACATTCATACTGAATGAAATTTGATGTCCATATTTTTGAATTTAGTTATATTTCTATATGTGGACGTCAGATTATCGGTAAAGTTTAATACCGCATGATATTTGACGTCCATATAACCATGAATATATTTATATTTTAATTCCTTGTGTATAAGACACACATTAATGACCATTGCTTTAATGACATTTTTCGCTATTGTTTTATTCGTATTTTAGTGTAGGGAGGCCATGCGGTGTAAAATAGTCACTGGTGTTTTATAAAATGTTTCGTTCTAGAAATGATAAAACGCTTAGAAGTTTAGAAAACGTGTGTGAAAAATTAAATTGTATTTCAACTAACTGCAAAACCAAACATAATATCATAATTTAACAAAAATAGCCTTTCACAAAAATGAATCTAGTTAAGTAGAGAGTAATTTCGTACAGATTAGGTACAATAGTCGCACTCATCCTTACGATGCAGTGAGAGCACCAAAACTCAACACGATCAAGTAAATAAATTATATTTTCGGAGTTATGTCAGCAACAATGCCTCGGTCTATTGTACAAATTAACAACCTACTGGCAGTTAATGCAGTAAAACCTTATATTAAAATGAGTTTCTTCGCCAGACCATATTAGGTTATTAGTCAGAGGTTATTAGTCACAATAAAACAAACTTCTATGAAATTTGTCAATATCTACAATTGAGTCCATCTTCCTGTACTCAATCAGAAGGTAACTTATACTCAAACAGAATTATAGGTTGTACGAAATACCTAACAAAAGTTCTTTTAGGCAGATTAGTACCAAATTTAAAATGTTAAAATATAGTGCAGCATGAAATAAACCGATAAGCCGTCGTCCGCATCTACATTTATAAAAATATAACTAAATTCAAAAATACGGATGTCAAATATCATTCAGTATGAAAGTTTTAGGATATTAGGACGTCCATATTATGCGTAGGTAAATGTAAGGTTAAGAAAACAAGTTTAAAAGTAAAATTACTAGTACCAAGCGCAGTATAAACCATATAATAATGTCCTGCAGACCGAATTACTGTCACGGCGGCCTGCCTCAACGGAGACTAGCCATCGGCGCAGGACATGATTATAGTGCCCAAGTGTGTGCGCAACCACAGGTGTACTCTCTATTCCCTCATTCTCATAATCCGATGGGACGGTAAACCGACACGACCGGAGAGAGATCAGACGTAGGACCAACGGCTTTACGTGCTTTCCGAGGCAAGGGGGTGATACACCGTCAACTTCCTGACTCCGGGCAGCTATTGAGAATTTCTTGACAGAAAAACTCAATAATTGAATTTTTGGCCCGACCCGGGATTCAAACCCAGGACCTCACGATCAGCAGTCGCACTACAACAACAACTAGACCAACGAGGCAGTCATAACCATATATCACCAAATACAAGTAACACGTTGGCAACGGTGACGGAACGGCAACGGTGACGGAACGGCAACGTCGCATCTCCTAATTTTGTGCGGAAGTCAAATATGGCCATAAATGAAAGTATTCACAAATCGACAGCAGCGCTATTATTTTTGCAACGAAAATTAGCGGAACTACGTAAATATTCAGTACAGCAAGATTGGAAGAAAAATGACGTCCAATTTTTTTTTAGATTTTGACATTTCTGTGATAGCATGACAATTTGCGAACATTGCGCTAAGTCTCCTATTTGACGTCCGTATATTGGACGTCGTAAGCAGGTTGACGCCACATTATATGCAAAATTGGCCATAGTGGACGTACAATAAGTTACGGGATGTATATATGTATATATATATATATACCTATTATCCAATTTGCAAAGAACTAATAAATAATTAAGAGGAGGCAGTAGGGGCAACGAACACTACAAAGCATGCTCTTGTCTTGACCATTTTTAGTTATTTTTTTTTCTCAATTTATTTATTTATCATCTACAAGTTGAATACACAGGACGTAAAATTACATCATAACAAATGTTTCTATAATGCTTATGGAATTTCCATATTTTTATAAGGAAAACAAAATATATTTGATAAAGAAAACAAAACGTAATATTACATTGTAACAAATAATTTTAAATCCAGCTACATTTATCATTTTATAACTAATGTAATTAAATAATTAGATGTTCGGTAAGTTCATTTCTAAGTGTCAAGATCAGTATTAAGTGGGAAGTAAGGTTTCAATTTTGTCTTAATATTTTTTTCTTGCTGTAATGATTAATGAAGGTCAGACATGCTTAATCGCATCTAACCGATTTTGCCTGCTAAGATATTTATGTAATTACGTAACGCAATCTGTGTTTTTTAGGATTTTTTTATTTTACTTTTTATAACATAAGTGTGACTAACAAGCAAACAGTCTATCTGATAATAAAAAAATGCTGTGGGTCATAGACATCTACATCCATTTTCCATTACGAATCAAAATTCAGTTGCGTGGTCATCGTTGAGGACTAAAATCACCTCGTCTTTTCCTATTTTATTCTAGTATTCTGTGAGAGCGTTATCTTTCCCTGGTCGAGCCGTCCCATTCGTGCTGCAACAATAATATAGCTGGAACATGGTTCTATCTCGTATAAACGTCGTTACGAAGTTACACCTTACGGCGTTTATACGTGTAAATACACAGTCGGTATTTTTAGATTTTTTGCCACCATTAAAAAAACTAGTAAACTACAAATAGGAAAAAAACACAATTTAAATAAAAAAACTACATTGTTCGTAAATATCGTATCAGTTTTTTTTTTTCAATATATTCTGCGCGCGTAACATATTACCACTCACGCATAGCAGCTGCGACAGACAAAAAACGAGTCCGTGCACAATGCTGGCGGATAAATGAAAATTTACAATATCGATACCTGAATAAAAAATACACAAAGTCATTGCTCACGTTAGCGAACGTATACAAATGGGTGCCTTGTAAACGTTCGCTTGTGTTTTATTTTTTATTTTTTCATAGGCTAATGTTTTATTAGCTTTCTGCCTCACTTGAGATACGAAATTTAAGTTTGCTTAGTAGTTAAGAATACATATTTACTTGTCGAATATAAATAAGATAAATATTCAATTATATAAACAATTTTTTATAATCTTCTTTTATATTATAACATGTATTTATTGTTTTTGTTTGTCCCACCGATCATAGTATCGCCACTCCTATAACACGTTGTCGTCACATTGTAAAATTTGTAACAAACATGATCTCGATATGCTATAAATATTTTGAAGACATGTTAAGTTTACCAACACTCATTGGGGCAGCGCGGTGTACATTCCCTTGCCCTAAACCCCTCTCAGAAAAAAAGAGACCTCTGCCCAGCAGTGGACTGTATGCCTATATACCTCCCACTGCACTTTATGTCTGTAACTTTATGCAATCGACACAAATCTTGACATTGTGAACTTTAATTCAAATTCGTGATTGTCCCTGAATTTTATTCCTCAGGGGTGACAACGCATCTGCATTTTGATTCCTATTGGAGGATAGATGTAGATGTTCATGGATCACATCATTAACTTACCATCAGGTGAATTGTGTGCTCGTTTGTGACCCTTATTCTATAAAAAAAATACCGACCTAAGATTTCATCTGTGAATTACCGCCGCTCCGTGACATTCCATTCATAGATGTGACATAGTTATGTAATCACATAGTTATACAAAACACTCGCGTCAAATATAAAGACACGACGCGACGGTGGGCGCGTCTAAAACGTCGTGAGGTGCTCGTTAAGGCACAAGGCAACCATAACTACTGCGAGAACACGGACAGTCCACGTGCTCCTAAGAAACTAAAGTTGTTTCGGAAGCTGGGCAAAACAAAGTGTATGAAATGAAAAAAGAAAGGCAGCTAATGTTAAAATAAAATTGAATGTTATTATTATTTTATTAGTATTATAAGCCAGTGCTTTTGGCTACTACTCCACCTGAGGGTAAATGGTGACGCGGCCGAAGATAGTTAAGCGCATTGACTTAGCTTAACAAACAAAAATACTATTGCATTAAATACCCTACATTACATTACATTCTTAGTCAGATGGGAAGGCAGAGCAAAGATGTTATGACTTTAGATAATCTAAAAATATTTTTTAATCTAAGTAATTGAGTGCTCGTGCATCGTGAGAAAAAAATACAAATCGGAAAAATATTAACAGTAGTATTTTCTCGTGTTAGGATTCCCG